GAATAATCGTTGCCGTTGGTGGAGTTAGAGGGCAAGCTATGTTGAGCTTCTGATGGAGATATGGTGCTATTAGTAGTAATTGCTGAAACAATGGATTTATGATATTTGATGTGTATTTGAAATTCTTCCTCTCCCCCAATGGCCTCAAAATCTGGTGCTAGAATTTCTCCTAAACAACAGCTGAAGACAAGTAGTGTACAAAGTGTAGAAGCAGATGAGCCAAAGCCTTTACCCTCGAAGGTTTCCAAGACAAACAAATCTGAGCTGGTTACTCCCGAACACCTCCTCAAATTGGTAGAAACTGCACCAAAGAAAGTTGTGGCAGAGATTTATGAAAATAAAAGGTCACCAATTTTAAATCAAAATGGTTCTGTTGAATCTTTGACTACTAAGTTTGAATCAAGCACATCATCACCGTGTGTTGAACAAGCATCAAAAGAAGTAGATTCTTCCATTAATGAGACTAGAGATTCACCTTCTGTTTCTGTTGACCAAGAGAAGAAAACATCCGAGTACGGAAGTGTTAAAAACAGCTCAGTATCTGCCAAAGTTAGCGATGGGACCAATAGTCTTGCCAAAACTAGTGGAAGTGCCAAGATTAGTGATCGTCTTGATTATGTTGAGAGTGGCAAGAGCAGCATGTGCAGAGGCAGCACAAGCAGTGATGTGAGTGATGAAAGCACATGCAGCAGCTTTAGTAGCAGTGTCAATAAGCCTCACAAAGCGAATGACTTGAGATGGGAAGCTATCCAGGCTGTCAGGGCAAGAGATGGGGTTCTAGGTTTGAGCCGTTTTAGACTGCTAAAGAGGTTGGGTTGTGGGGACATTGGGAGTGTCTATCTGTCAGAATTGAGTGGAACTAAGTGTTATTTTGCAATGAAGGTTATGGACAAAGCATCTTTAGCAAGTCGTAAAAAGCTGCTTCGGGCTCAAACGGAAAGAGAGATACTGCAATCTCTTGACCATCCTTTCCTTCCTACACTTTACACCCACTTTGAGACGGAGAAGTTCTCCTGTTTGGTAATGGAGTTCTGCCCTGGTGGAGATTTGCACACCCTTAGGCAGAAGCAGCCAGGGAAACATTTTCCAGAGCAGGCAGTAAAGTATGATAAGTAAACTTTGAAATGATATTTCATGTTCTTCACTACGATGTGCATGGTTTTTTCTTGTTCTCTTCCTTTTGAATTATCAATTATGAGCTTTGCTTTCAATTCTAGTTGCACAGTTGCTTGAACTGTGATAGGGGGTTTTAGGTGGTCAGCTTAGTGTTGAATGAAGTTCTAAATTACTATTTATGGATTAAAGTTGTAGCTCAAAGTTACAATAAAGGTCAACATGACCAAACTGCCTATGTCTAGACTTCAGCATGATAGATATCAAAACATTAGCTTAATGCTGTATGGTGTGCCGAGTCAGTTAGAACCATAGGGTTAATTTGCTTCCTCTCCAATATCCATGTGCTAGAAAATTTGTTCTTTCAGTGCTCTGACCTACTCTACTTTTTGTCTCTGAGAACAGCTAAGCAAGTCCTTAACGTCTACTATGGCAAGTTGCTAGTAGATTTTGATATGCAAGTTTAAAACTTTAATTTCGCCCTTCAAATCTTGTATGCTGATATTATACCTAATGTGAATCCCTTTGAAAGGCATTGATTTTATGGAAGTTCAGTCCAACACAAGTTCTTTTTTTTACCTTTTTGCTATAATTGCATTTATGAACAGAAACACGATGCCATGTGTTTGAAATTTGTATCTATTTCTATAAACTTTATAGTAATTTTGACTTTGATTCTTATTTACAGATTTTATGTAGCAGAGGTCTTGCTAGCATTGGAATATCTCCATATGCTTGGTATCATCTATCGTGACCTTAAGCCAGAAAATGTTCTTGTGAGAGAAGATGGTCATATAATGCTCTCTGATTTTGATCTTTCCCTTCGTTGCGCTGTCAGCCCAACTCTTGTCAAGACATCTTCTCTTGAATCAGAGCCATTAAGAAAGAACCCTGTTTACTGCGTCCAGCCTGCTTGCATTGAACCTTCCTGCATTCAGCCGTCCTGCGTTGCTCCAACAACTTGCTTTTCTCCCCGTCTCTTTTCTAGCAAGTCCAAGAAAGACCGCAAGCCCAAAAATGAAATTGGAAACCAGGTCAGCCCGTTACCTGAGCTCATAGCAGAGCCAACTGATGCCCGTTCAATGTCATTTGTTGGGACCCATGAATACTTGGCACCTGAGATCATCAAGGGTGAGGGTCATGGAAGTGCTGTTGATTGGTGGACTTTTGGAATCTTCCTCTATGAACTCTTGTATGGTAAGACTCCTTTTAAGGGATCTGGGAACCGGGCGACGTTGTTTAATGTCGTAGGACAGCCTCTTCGGTTTCCAGAATCACCAGTTGTCAGTTTTGCAGCAAGAGACCTCATAAGGGGGCTGCTTGTAAAGGAACCACAACATAGATTGGCATATAAACGAGGGGCAACTGAGATTAAACAACATCCCTTCTTTGAAGGTGTGAATTGGGCATTGATTCGATGTGCTACCCCACCTGAGATTCCAAAGCCAGTTGAGCTTGAACGTATACCAGCTCCACCAGCATCAACAAGTGAAAAGGTTGCAGCCAATGTTGCAGCTGCTTATGATCAGAAAGGTTCTGACAATTATCTGGAGTTTGATTTCTTTTAGCAATAGTTGGTATTAATTGCGATGCGCAGTTTGTTTCTGTTTAGCGGGAAGAAATATAATGAACATCTCAGGGGTTGGTGGTGATGAGGATAAAGTTTTCTTGTTGATGGATATGATGAGAAAATGTATGTTTGTTGTTGCTGCCTATTTAAACATTTTAAGTCTGTATTCCTTAATTATTCATGGACCACACCTTTTTACCATGCGCTTCAATGAGGGGGCTTCTCCCGCCCCAGACCTAGAGCACTGGAAACATGGATGGATATAGATTGTAGAGCAATGCAGATATGATTTCCAAAGCTCGCAGACAAAATTATTCCTTATGTAAATACGTTTTCTCTTTTAGAAGGTTCTTAGCTGCTGTAGATCCAAACTTAAAGCACACGTTCAAGACTGCGGTGCCTGATATTGTAATTCTGAATATCAACTTGCTGCTTCCCATTTTCTATCCAGTCATTGTAACCACTGAAAGTATTGTACGCTAGCATTTATATATGTAATGCACCACTACTCTAAAGGCGCATCAACGTCATATATTATCTGCTAGACAGATAAGACTCAAAAGGAATAGAACCCTGTTTGCAGGGTCGAAATAAAACTCAATAGGAACGGTACCCTGTTTGCAGCAGGGTGCCATGCATAGTAATGTGGTGAGCGTGGATCGAACAGATCTTCAGTCGCCATATCATAATGCACTCTGCAGCAGTCTAGAATTTGGGTCTGAAACACATGCACGAAAAAGAATCACTGTTGTGATCAGCTTTCTGCAAGGCCTTGAAGTAGGCTTCGTTGCCAGCTGATGCAGAAGGCGATGCAATCATTTGGCTGGTTATTACCTCTTTTCCTTCACATACCACCTTAACCTCGCAAGTATCTGGTGCATTCTGGAATATCTGATCAGCTATCCCGATGCCCCTCCTTGACTTCAGTTTCCTACCCATCCAAAGAAATAAAATATTACTGATAAAGGTGCTAAGCAATGCATTCTTCTTATTTAACCGTAATGATATACCTCGGACTGCAATTGCTGGTTCCAACCACTAGCTTTCTGATGTTTAGAATAGGAATTAGATCCAGTATGGCTTTTGCAACCATATCACTTTCAATAAGCATGGTATCCACTGTCACCTGTTTATCAGTCATATACTTTGTTCATTAGTTTTCAACAGAAAAGGATCGACTTCGTTTAATGTAAAGACGAGATAATACATATATGTATATGTCCTTGTTTCGTACCTTGGAAGCGGAGCAGATATTAAGAAATTTTTGAAGGAGTTCTCTCCTCTTCCCTCTTTCTTGCGCCATATAGTTCTCCACTTGTGATGGACTTACTTTGCTCTTTGGCAGCATTCCCACTATGATCAAAACAGACAGGCATGGCTCATTGCTTTTATTTTCCTTTTCTTTTTATGAATAAATCATTTACAATTAGTCACTAATTCTTTGCAGAAGGGCAGCTTAATTTGCCATCCTCAATGCAACTACAACTACATGTTTTGTTATGGATGATGCTGAAGAGCAGCTTGACCAAACCAATCACCATCAGTACAATTTTTGGCTCAGATTATTAACTCATAAATTTCATCAGTCCTTCACCTATCACTTTTCGTTTGCTAAACTAAATAGATATATAGCACGAAAGTAGAAGAAAAAGATGATGTACAAGATTAAGTAACATCACCATGAGTAGGTGTATACTATAGTTTGTCCATCCCAGCTGAAAAGAAAGAAATTTATCTGATTTGAAGACTAAGAAAAGAAAGAAAAAAGAAGATGTGAGGGTGCCTGAGATCCAGTGAGAGCTTTGCTTACATACATGGAGAAGGAATGTGGTGAATCTCCGGAAACACATGTATGAGATAGAGGACGCTGGATGTATTGACAAAATGGGACAGCGTCCAAGACAGGGCACCTATGCTTGACTCGCTCTTCCCCACCGCTACGTATACAATATCCTCTGCGTTGTTAACATCAAAAGAAAACAAGCTGCTCGCATCTTCTTCTTTGATCGACGCCAAACCCTCCCCATGGTTTATCTCAAACAATTCACTTGAAAAATTTCCATCTTCTTCTTCCTCTATCTCGCTTACACTGGTCGAGAACCGGTAAGTTTGAGCGACAGCGACGCTGGTTTCCGTCCAGGGTGTCGACATCTGGAGAAAATATGAAAGGGATCGATCGGGAAGACTCGGAGAGGCTCTCTATAGCTAATTTGACCCGATGCCTTGATGGAAGTAGCTTGTAGAGAGCAGAAACGTCCAGGGAAGCAAGAATAAGGACCAAAGCTTATAACTAGCTAGTTCTAACCCCCCGAACTCTTTGAAATATCAAATGCCCTGGGCCCTGGCCCCGGCCCCGGCCCCAGGCCTGCGGGGTTAATTTAATTTCTTCTAATTCTGCTTTGACTTTTCCCATTTCTAGGTTATCAATCAATCAATATTTCTAAGCTGCTGTCACTCTTTGTTTTAAATTGCTAGTATTTGAAAAAAAAAATGCACTTTTATTTGATATGCATATGTATAGCAATACCATACAATATATAATTGTACTAATAAACAAATATCTTGGGTTAGAATATTGTCTACAAACACTTTTGGTCAATTCATACTCGTGCTTACAATATATTAATTAGTGTTCTCTCTCTCTTACAAGTAATTATTGGATGCTATGATGAGGATATTCTAACTTACAAAAATTAAAGGAAAACAATGTCAGGTCTATGGAATAATGCAATTTTATACATATAGTCAAATAGCATCACGCATTCACATTTCGTGCTGAAAATGTAATACTAGTCAGCATTCGATGATACAAACCTTACAAGGATATCCGCAAATGCCCCAGGGAATCAATCACCCCACCAATACTTTATAATTTTTTCTCGAATCCTGTTGATTAGCCTCCGCAAAATTTGACTAACCACCAGGCCTATTCTCCCAAGCAAGACATTGTTCCATGGAGTGTTTACTCATCCTACATCCAGGCCCGTACTGCATTTGCACTTGAATGGCATATATATGTTTTTGAGGTCTGTGGTACTCATCTTACGTCCAGGGGGTGGACTTGGGCCTGCTTTTGAAATTAGAATCAGTTCAGTGATAGCGAGAGAAGAAACATACGGGTACGGGGATATCCTAGAACGTCCTTCTTGGTCTTTGGATATTCACTTTGCATAATGCATGGTCTCTAAAGCAATTGTGACAGTAACAGATGACCATATATAATAATACTTGATAAGTGGGGGTTGACAGGGCATTCCATCTTCTTCTTCTTCTTTCTCTTTTTGGTGAAAAGTGAAAACAATATTCCCATGTTCTTTTCCTTTAGATGATGATGATAGAATCGTATTTACGGTCGATGCCTTGACATGTCGTTAAGGGCAAGCCACCCACACTTTAGAACCCATCCATGAACCAACACAAAATGCAACATCTCCTTCTCCTCCAAAAAGAAAAGGAAAGGACATGGATCTAACTTCCAAGGCATCCATCCAACAAGAAAAAGGAGAGTTGATAAAAAAAAAAAAGTAGTACTAAAAGAGGAAAACAACGTTAAAATTTGGAAAAACAAACAAGTGGTGATGTAATGCTACTTACTTATCTTTAACTTTAAGAAAAGAAATGACTACTGGTAATAAAACTCATTGTCTCATCGATAGGACTTAATCTTATAATACTTAGGAGAAAGCAGGCAGCAGTGAGTGAGTCCCAGAGCACCAACAGCAAGCCTACAATGAAATATATAACCTTAATCTCCAACAGAAACAATGGTGATATTGGTAATAAGACTGATGAAACTGGAAAAGGAAAAGTAAAGCGGGCAAGTGCTTGAAAGGTGATTGAAGCGTCCGCTAGAGGTTCTGCTTTAGTAGTAGTCACAGGCAGTGCAGAGTCGGTTGGCACAACCAAACTAATAAGCAGTAGACGTAATTAGGTAATAATTTTATTCATAAGAGAACGGGCTGTGGTAGAATTGTAGTAGGTGTAGGTGGGCCTTGGAGGTGTTTACGGGAGGCCCGACGTCCTTTCTTGACTCTTCTTCTGATAATTATAACTTGGGTCTAATCTTTGGTTGATTCCTTCTTACTTCCTCCTCACCTTTATTTGTCAACATTGCCAGAGACTAATCAACTCGTAGTGGTACTATTACTAATATTTGCATTTTCTCTTTGTTTTTTGGGTCTGTCTACCAACAAATACAATCAATAATCACAGTATTAATTGACAATAATATACTAGTAGTACAATTTAGAACAACCGGCTTCCATAGGATAATAATAATTCAAGGAAACAACAAATCGACGACATTGTGGGCAATCGAGAGATGGGGATCGTTTCTCAGGAAGCGATCGTTCAGTTGCAGGCATTAATGGATCGAGGTCTCTTCTCTTTTTCCAATTTTCTGATTTTGATTTACTATCTTTTTCTTCATCCTGGGAAAGCTAAGCTAAGCGATACAAAAATTTCTGATTATAGCTGCTTTTATGGCAGTTGATGAGCCTCTCAAGAAGACATTTGAGGTACGCATTTCACTTTTTCCCTTCCCCTCTGATCTCTCATATCATATGTTATTCAACGCCAGTCAAATGTGCTCAGCTATCTTTCTTTTTTGGCTAAAATCTTCTCCTTTCCAGGTAAACGCGTGAATTCTGTCTGTGTTTTCTCATCATTAGTGGCTGTACATAGATATGTATTACTGCCTACAGCTGATCTGCTCTTTTGCTTAATCTAATTGCTATGCTATCTCCCTGCTCTATGTCCTTTGCTTTCTTACATGCATCTTTTTTTTAAGTTGCAATGTGAGCTTAATGGGGACTCTGATCCTAACTTTTTCAACAAATGCTTCATCTCTCCTCCTCTTGTTTTACTGTTACCAGTAATTGGGGTCTTGGCTCTTCTTTTTCTGAATTCCATTGTCCCATCAAATGTAACTGCATCAAGTATCCTATCAATAGCGTTTCATCAGAAGTAGGAAGCTAGGCAGGTTAGATGATGAATCTAAATTACAAGAGAATTCTTTTGCCTCAAAAGGGTATTGATGCTGTGAGGTAATCAAGAATATATTGCCATTGAAAGTTCTCTACTTTGATGCAACTAAGGAACTTCGTAGGATGCTTGATAAGTTTATGCATAACTAAGCCATTTTATATTTGAGGGCAGCTTACAAAAGGCTGTAGGGAACGAGATGTTTCATTATAGCTTCACTGGATGTTTTGGATGATTATTCTGCAACAAGTTTTGCACTTGTTTGTAGTAATTGTTTCCCAATACGCAGAATGTTCATCAAGGCTATCGAGCTGAAACATTGGTGCGCTTTCTAAAAGCAAGAGAGTGGAGTGTTGCCAAAGCTCATAAAATGGTTAGTTAATTGGAGTTAGATGAGCCCAAATCATGTGTATGATGGAATTCCTCTTGGGTTTGAAAAGCAATAAAAAAAGAAAAAAAAAACTGTTGTTTTGGTTGTGGAAGTTGATAACAATGTCATCTTGGTATGATGGAATTGATTACTGTATCATGTTTCAGTTGGTGGACAGCTTGCTGTGGAGGGTGCAGAATGACATTGACAATATATTAACAGTAAGTTTGTGTATTCTCAGTAGTTCCATCCGGGCAACTGGTTGCTTTTCCAAGTAAACTACTAGGTTGATGCTCGTCTATGCTTTGAGTCAGCGAACTGTATTTTTATTTTTATTCAATGTAAATCTTTTCTACAGAAACCCATAGTTCCTGCCGAACTTTACAGAGCAGTGCGTGATTCACAGCTCATAGGAATGTCTGGCTACTCAAGAGAGGTGCTCATAATTTTTCAAATTTAATCTGGTTTATTGGGTTTACATTTTCAATCATGCTATGTTGTGCTTCATGCGGACACAAAGACACTTGATTATAATGAATTTATGATGGGAATCACATATCCTATCTGGTATGCTATTTAATTTTTAATTTTCCATCTCCAGGGGCTCCCGGTCGTTGCTATTGGTGTGGGACTTAGCACATTTGATAAAGCATCTGTAAGTTTTATGGTAGTGTGCATCACAAGTATTCGATCATTGATCAGAAAGACAACTAATGTGTGGTATTTTTTTGCTTCTTTTATTTTAATTATAGGTTCACTACTATGTGCAGTCACATATTCAAATCAATGAATATCGAGATTGTGTAATTCTGGTGAGTAATAGAGTTTGGAAGTTTTTTATTTCTAGCCTTTTCTGGTTATTTGTTTGACATTTATACACTGTTTTAGCCTTCTGCATCAAAGAAACATGGGCGACCCATAACCACCTGTATAAAAGTATTAGATATGACTGGCCTGAAGCTTTCAGCACTGAGCCAAATAAAGGTATTGCCTCAACTTTAGCTGCCATATTTTGTTCTACTTGTACTTGGGTAGCAGATTTGCAACCTATATGCATATGTAATTATCTTATTTTTAATTTCTGACACTGATAATTTTGGTAAAGAACCTTGAAAGATTCAACATTTGAATCCTTAAAGGCTGAGAACTAAGCTTCTGAAAAAGGCTTAACATAGCAAAAAGAAGAAAAACTCAATGTTAAACTGACTATTTGCAATTGTGAAGATTCAACCATCCAAACTTTTAAATATTTGATTTGACTGTATGCCTCATGCATCGGTATGATGATTTTATTTGTTGTTTTAACACAGTTATTGACAATCATCTCGACTATCGATGACTTGAACTACCCGGAGAAGACAAATACATATTATATTGTAAATGCTCCATATATTTTCTCTGCTTGTTGGAAGGTAAGCTTCGAATGGTTATCCTTTTTTCCAGTAAATGGTTTTGACATGGATTGATGTAACCTTTGAGTTCTGAGCAGGTTGTCAAGCCCCTTTTACAAGAGAGGACAAGGAAAAAAATTCAAGTGTTGCCAGGTTGTGGGCGAGATGAGCTGTTGAAGGTAAGGTGTTGTCTCATGATTCCTTCAAATATTGAACAACATGGGTATTCTAAAACCTGCCCATTTTTGTGTTTGGATACTTTGGAGATACTCAAAATATTCATCATTCCTTTACCTGTCTATCCCTCTCTCTCTGCCATAGCAGAGCGGGCTGAGGTGGTGCTGGACCCGGAAGATGTTTTTTTTAACTTTTTTCTATCAACTCTCTGAGCCTTATACCGTTCTCACTTTTCTTTTCTTCTACTGTACTGAAATTTCAAATAGGGATGCAATTTCTGTAGTTCTTTTGTTCCCCTTTCGTTTTGTTTGTGACAATGGGGTTCCCAGCATAGTCTGTGAAGAAAGCAATGTGTTTTAACTGTCAGATTCAATAGTCATCATTATAGCTGGATTGCGGAGCTAACATACACGAACAGCATGTATCCCTTTTTTCTTTTCGGTTCTTCTCTCTCATCATCTTGCTGTTCCACTGCTTCACTAGTAAATCAGGCACTTGAGAAGTCAAATGATATATAATTAATTCCCTTATTTTTGCTCGGATCCGTTCAACTACATAGTGAATCATCAGGGGAAATGTAATTCCAGAACCATTTTTTCTGCTTAAAAGAAAATACTAATTCTGTTGGCTGTATATTCTATTTATAGATTATGGATTTCGCATCACTGCCACATTTCTGTAGAAAAGAAGGGTCTGGGTCATCTCGCCATTCAGAAAATGAAAACTGCTTTTCGTTGGATCATGCTTTCCATCAACAGCTCTACAACTACATAAAGCAGCAGTCCTTGGTCACTGAACCCGCTCAACCCATCAAACAGGGATCTTTTCATGTGGATCTGCCTGAGCCCGCTGCAGAGGGAACAGAGATTGCTAAAACACTAGAGTCTGAGTTGCCCAAGTTTGAGAATGGGAATGGGTTGTCCCGGTCGATTAGTGGCATCAAAATCAATGATGATTGAGACTTTTGATTCCCAATCAGGATGTGGTTTAATTCTACCATTCCGGTAATAGGATATAATTGAAAGTAAGAGCAGCAGCTCACATCATCTTTAGGTGAGTCTGTGAGGAAAAAAGTTAGTACGATGTATGTGGTGTTAGGAATACTATTGTATTATTTAATTTCACGGTTTTTAGTCAAAGATGACTCGAACAGAAAAATCTATTTCAGCCTTGCTCAAATTATTGCTTTAATTGATAGATTATTGTCATTTATAAGATATAATAGAACTAAAGAGGCAAATGCATACGCAAACCCAAATTGCTGGATAGTTAATTGGCATCTTTTGTTTTGTTTAATTTGTTCCAACCAAGGGAGGACAGTGTGAGGGGAAACAGATTGTTTAGGGTGCAGCAGCTTAAGCTAGGCTTTAAGGTGCAACCATTTGTTCTTGTTGACGCCGTCGTTTAAGCTCACCCTCAATCACGCCCTGTGCCGCCTCTGCCATCGTCGCTGACTTCTCAGCCAGTTCTGTCGCAGCCTTGATTTCCTCCATTGCTTTCAAACTTGCTTCCAACCTTTTTTCTGTCTCACTTTTTCTGGCATTAATTGCTTCCAGCTCAGCCATTGCGTCAGCTATTTGCCTCTCTGCCATATCCCCAGATTCGACCACTTTCCTATTCAAAGATTCAAATTCCTCCATGGAGATTATAATCTTGCCACTGGATTCCGTGTTACCAGTGATCTCTTTTGCAGACAAAACATGCACTTCATCAACAGCCTTTTGCTGTGCTGCTTTTGCTTCTTCAGCCTGCTCCAAAGCACGTTCTAGCTTTTGCTGTGCCTCCTCTGCCGCTACTTTTGCGGTTTCAGCTTCTATTTTCAGCTCTTCAGTACTTTTCTTCATCTCTTCTTCTTCTCTCCTTGCATTTTCAATTTCTGATGACAGCTGTTGGAGTCTGAAATTGTGCTCCCTTAACTCATTTTGTTCGGCAACAGCTTTTGCTTCTTTGTCCATTTCAGCTTGTCGTTCGCTCTTCACCTCTTCCAATTCCAGCCTAAGGGAGCTCACTAAATTCCGAAGAGAGCATTCTTCATCCGCTACTTGTTGCAGTGTTGTCGTAGCTTCATTAAGCTCACTAGTTATAACTCTCACAGAATCCATTTCTAAAGCATGGGTTTTTCTCATCTCTTCTTGCAATGCTTCGACCTCCGCTGTTGTTTCCATGAGCTTCTCCTCCAGATATTTCGTCAGCTCAGGATCATATCCTTTCCTCGAGGATACCAATTTGTTTTCCGTTTCCTCCTTGGCGCTCTTGTAAGATTTTTGTAGGGCATCTTTCTCTTCCGCGATGTTTGCCCGTTCTTGGTACACCTGTTGGGTGGCAAACTTTACTTGTTGAATTGCCTCCTTCATGCCCGAGATTTCTTTCGAAAGCTCACTAACCCTTTCAGCATGCATTTTAGAGCGACGCTGTGCTTCTGCCGCCTGTTGGAATGCGGCCAACTTTGCTTCCAAGGCTGCATCAAAATCTTGCCTGATTTCATTGAGCTCTTGCTTTGCGGCATCAAGCTCCGTGGCAACGGCCATATATTGCTCCCTCGCATAATCCAGTTCCATTTTACGTGCATTGCTTTCTTGATGGTTCTTTGATTTTTGCAGTTCAAGTTGCCTGGCTTGCTCCTTCACTGCCTCTGTAGCTTCAATTGCGGATTGCTTGGACTGGGTTATTGTTTCAAGTTTGCTGGTCAAATCCTGCAATGTTCTCTTTGCGCTTTCAAGATCAAAATCTGCCTTGGCCTTTGTGCTTTCGTCACACTCCAGCTTTTGCTTTATATTGGTAATTTCTTTCTGCGCCAAGAGAAGCTGCGTCTCCTTGTCTATCACATTCTGGCAAACAACATAAGCAGATTACGACGGCATGCAATTATATACATAGCTTCTGCTTCGACATGCTATATATAGGTATATATTAACCGGCCGGCCATTTAGATGGAAAAGTATTGATCAGACGTGGGTAGTGGGTTACCTACCTCTGCAGAAAGTCTTGATTTTCTGGGAGTGCGTCTCTCCCTGGAAACAGCTACTTCCCCAAATAGACTAACAGCAGCTTTGACAGATTGGAACGGCGCCCTGGTATCAATCTCTCCTACCTCTGCCCTTGGTGAACCTAAGGACTTGGGAAGGCGTTCGCTGTTTACGCGGCGGATATTCACCATTTTTGTCTTTGCTAATTGGTCAATGAGTTTCCTCGAAAGCTGACCTGCGCAAGAGCAGTTGGATTGCCATGATCATTATCCTCCTGCATTGTACAGCTCATCGTATGGAAAACAACAAGAATGAGAGAACTCTTGAATTCAGATACATTGCAAAGCCCTGAGCCACCATTAGAGTAATTAATGCACATGATAATGATATCATAAAAGCAAATCCAAATATGAACCATGTATTCTCTCGCTTCTGCTTCTGCAATATGAACTATAATATCAAAAAGGAAACCTTTTTTTTCAACTGGGAGATCGCAGATGCATGCATTAATGTAGATGATATCAGTTGAATTTGAAATAGTACCTACATCCCATTTCTTTTCTTTTTTTTTTAAAGAAAGAAAGAAAGAACAATTGAATAAACAAGTCAGGTGGCTTAATAATGAAGATGGCATTGTTCGTGGCAATGAAAATGATTTGCAAAAGAAACCTGATGCGGATACGTTGGAGGAAGCAGAAACTGAGGTTGTGAGACGTAAATGAAGTTACTTACTAGACAAACAAATTGGTGAAAGGAAAAGGAAGCCTCGAAGTTTGAAGTTGACGAGGTGCGGGTCCTGGTCTAGTCTTAGTCTGTTCTTGAGAGGTGCCGTTCCTGTACTATTTTTGGAGGGAGAGCCACCATTGTTTGCGGCATTTCAACGGTTAACCTTAATATTAAATTTGAGGAAAATGCCACCACCCTCAGCCCTCGGCGCTCAGCCTCACACACAAATTACAATATACAAAGTTTCTGTTGGGGTTGTTGGTGGAAAGTCTCGAAATGAAATGGCCAACGATTTTTCTCCAAAAAACGAAAGGAAATGAGTAACGTTTGACTGTTTCTACTGCGGCAGCGGGCCTCACCCACATTATCCCCAGCCCAAACAACATTTCTTCCCTAACCGGACGTCACATTACATACTACTATATTCTTTCGGAATTAGCACGGTTCAGTTGCTTTTTTGTTTCTTTATCTGATAAAACATCAACATTTCAGAAAAGAAGAAGCACTTGTCCACTTCCATAAGACTTGATACAGCTTGCTTTATATTCTTTTAAAGTTGAAAAACAAAAAACAAACAACCACAAAATTTCTCAGCAGTACATGTATTGGTTTCATAAAGATGACGGTCCCACCTTCGTAACCGGCCTGCAAAATGCAAGAGTCTTCGTCAATGGCACTTCTCATTAACACCATAGCAAAGACTTGTATTTAGAAAATTTAACAGGTCAGAACAGTCTACAGATTCTTGCTAAGGAACCCAGTAAAAGACATGGAGCAGTCAAATACCATGGAGCAGAATCCAATTAAAATTATTGAACTAAACCACAATACATTTATTAATAATCTGGTGTAAACCTGCTATGAAATTTCTTTGGTTTAGCTCAAGAACTATAGTAACAACTCTGGAAGATATTAAGAACAATGTTAATAAAATTCTAATTGGACAAGAAAGTTATTAGGTGTAACGGGCATACACCTTACCAAATATATATATATGCATGGCTTACATGAGCTCAAAAACAAGGGCAGATGCTCCTCCTCCTCCATTGCAGATTCCACCAACCCCGAACTTTCCATTCTTCTGTCTCAGCACCTGCAATGAAAAGCATCAATGCATCATCTACCTATTCCTGTTACTGGGATGAGAGAAGGTGGGGTTGCATGTGTGCGTGTGTGAGAGAGAGAGAGAGGGAGAGCACAGGGGCCTCAGCAGCTGTACATCATTCAACTTATTTGAAGAAAGAGAGAGAGGGGTGGGGTATTCAAATGTATTTCAAACCATTAGAAAGAAATTAGGATGGCCAGAAACATAAATAAACTCCTATGAATTACCCCCAACAATGCGACTAATATACGAGCTCCACTACACCCTAATGGATGTCCCAACGATACAGCTCCACCATGAACATTAACCTTTTCCTGCATCCGAGAAAGCACAAGCTAAGACATTGAAAAATCATAAAATGCATATATAGAAGCTAAAAATGCATGATGAGCCAGGCTAAAGAAATCTTGAAAGAAAAAGTCAATTATCATCAGTGAACTATTCGATTAAAAATTGAGAGGATGGTTGAAGATTTACAGGGTTAAGGCCAAGCAGTTTTTGATTGACAAGAGCCACAACCTGCAAAAAAATAACTACAACATGGACTCATAATGAACCACTTGATTTTCTGAAACAAAAAAAAAAAGAATATTACTCTGATACTAGCACTATCAAAACGTATTAGCCTATTTTCTTACTGAAAAAGCTTCATTTATTTCATAGTAATCAATTTGAAAAGCCTCCAAACCAGCAGCTGAAATAGCTTTTGGTATGGCAAGGGCTGGAGCCGTCGTAAACAATTCAGGTGCCTGCCAAGACAAGCTCCATCAGCTTTACTTATCTAAAAATAAGCCAAAACCAAGAAACACAAACAAATATTATCTGCAGTACCTGAGCAGCATCAGCATATCCTCTGATCTTAGCAACTACTTGCAAACCAAGCTTGATTGCCTTCTCGCCACTTACTAGCACTAACGCTGCTGCACCATCACTACCCAACATAACAGACCAGCCCATAACTAGTAAGGAATACCCTTAATCACCAATATATTAAAGAAACATGCAACAGCGACTTTATCATAGCGAAACTTATATTTGGTCTGAAAAAGTGAGAAGATATGGCTCAAACTCATAGCATATCATTCCAATTTGCAAGACCAAATTTTTTATTGCAAAGAAGATAGGGACTGAATGCAATCGCAATCACATTAATACATTGCAAGTATATGAACACATTAAAAAGGGATGGGAGGAGACAGAAAGAAGAGACCTAATGCTAGAAGCATTGCCAGCAGTAACAGATCCTCCATCTTCCTTAAAGCTTGGTCTAAGCTTCCTCAATTTTGCAGCATCAAACTAGAAAAGGCAGAGATAAAAAGAGAATAGATCAGCACCAAAGCATGTATTACAGTATTAGACCACCACAGATTAAGCATGGACATCAGGTATTATTCGGGACTAAAACAGCTATAATTGGACTGTTGCATTCAAAATAATGGATAACCATCAATTTGATGGGTCTTATATACTAAGTCAACCTGGAAATGCTATTGCTATTACAGAACCTTGTTCTTCACAATGAGTACAGTTTGTAGTAATTTGGATAGGACAAGTTAGAGAGAAGAAGAAGAAGGGTTTGGTTACAAGGAATGTCTAGAATCGAATGAAGGGTAACGCATGGACCTCCCAATCAAGGGAAATGCAAAAATGTAAAACATGAAGCCAACATCGTCCCTAGTTTTCCCCATTATCTTTTATGGCACTTGCTCAAGCCAACTTTATAAACATAAAGAGACAATATTACAAACATACATGCATGCATGCATACATACAAGCATATATATATTATATTATATTATCTTGGAAAGGGGGTGAGTTGCAAAAACATCTTACCATGAAAAATAGGGTTCCAAAACCTTCCATGTGATTAGATATTTAGATAGGACAACCAAAGGTTAAAAACACAGCAAAGAACATGTGTTCAATGGAATATCAAATGCCAAGTACAACCCTCTCTTATACCTTTGCTAAACCTTCATCCCTATCTATAATTGTGGATGGTTTCCCTCTTCTCCCCGAAACTTCAACCTGCACGTACAAATATGGGAATTTATGTTACAAAATACCATAAACTATCGATTTTCCCCTAATTTTTGAGTGATATCAGAAACCACACTGGAACTATTTCCCAAGCCAAGAGGCCATTGTTTTGAGCAGCAATTCCACGCTCAAAGCTTTGAATAGCATAAGAATCCTGCAAGAGAGGACAGGTATAGCATATGGGAGAACATTAACATGCATTAGTAAACACTAAACAATATTAATGAGAACACAACCAAAACATAAAAACACATTAAAAAATATCTTAACACACAGTTTAAAGACCATTAAAGGAGCAACTTATTAATGGGACGTGACCCCAAAACGTTGTATGAGGAGAATAATATAAGTTACAAAAACAACAATAATCAACTCTACCTTTAGAGATACCAAAGACAATCAGAAGTGTTAAACATATGGATTGAGAAGAAACAGTACCTGCTCTTCTCGTGTAATGATATGTTGGTCAGCACATATTTCTGCACATACTCCCATTCCAAAGTCATTGTATACATCCCATAACCCATCTTTGAGCATGCCATCAATAATGGTATCATGTCCTAGATGAGATCCCTTTCTGCCCATAAAATTGGAGATAGAACTTTCAATGCCATAAGAACAACATAGAGATCATTTAATGCAATGACAACCAAACAAATCAAAAACCGTCTTTTTGACCAAACCAATGATTTTCTGTGGTGGAAATGTAGGTTTACTCAGATATCTATCCAACCAAGCACCAACACTATTCCTATGCAGGGAATCTTCATAAAAACAATTCTTCAAGCTAAAATTGACCGACTAGCCACCTAACGCCCCTGGTGAGTACAAGGTCTTCAATTTCAGTTCAATGTCATCAATTAGGTTGTATCT